AGAACCTAGATTTCACTGTTGTTTGCATCCAAAGATCATATAGCAGACACCATTAAGATCTCATCTTTATTATCAATCTCTTACAAATGAAATCATCTCTTTTTTCTTCAACTTAAGAACATTGCAATATATGATTTCCTAGGCAAATCAATATTATACTCCACATTTTTTTAGGACACGTCACACCATCCAAAAATTATGTATCATTCACCATGATTAAAAGTATAATATAATGAGAAAAGTCTGAATACTTCTTAGAATAGTGAGAAAACCTCTAAGGCATTCGGTGTGCTCCATTCATATAACCCAAGATAAGCACTTGTTATCTTCATGTTTTTAACAATATTAGTTTTCATGGTCTCTAATGTTTAAAAACATGGAATATATCTCTAGTGTTTAAACACATGGAATATGTTTTATTCCATGTAACTTGATATTTTCTCTAACTCTTTCAGATCCTTATAAACCCATCTATCACCTAGAAATCACATGGAAATTATGTCTCTTTTCTTTAACTCTTTCAAATCCCTATAAACCCATCTCTCACCTAGAAATCACATGGAAATTACATCTCCCATTAATTTTAAAGGTTAAGATTCACTTTAGGCCTATTAGTTGATTACCAAATATTACTATTCACCATAAATTCTAGGTTTTATTACTTGATTATTAAAATTTTTTATTACGTATATCTATCATTTAAGGGGCGTTTGGTTTATGGAATCTTGGATTCCAAGGGAATGTGTGCCCAGGGAAGTTTGATGCTCAAGGTTTAGGTTGATTTTTAGGGCATCTCGTAATCAGATTCACTCGTTTGGTTAGAGGAATCTTGGTTTATTAATTCATATATAATTACCATAATCTCCTTGATAAGCTGAAGGTAACATTTCATTTTGCTTTAATAAAAAAAAAAAAAAAACTCAAACGACAAATGATGCCTTTAACAACCAAAGAAAAGAAAGATTTTAATTTTTTAATTAAATATACTCATTTACTGTGTTTAACTAGACATTAAGCCATAATTATTGTATTAAAATATAAAAAAATCAAATATAACGTTTAGAAGAGCTGAACGCCTTATTTGCTTTTGTAAATCTATTAGAAAAAACATTAAATAAGGTGTTTGTAGGAAAGAATGCTTTAATTGATATCAAATAAGGCGGTTGTAGGAACAAAGCCTTAATTGATATTAAATAAAGCGCTTGTAGGAAGAAATGCCCTAATTAATATCAATTAAGGGGTTTGTAGGAAGAAACACCTTAATTGATATCAAATAAGGCCTTTGTAGGAAGAAACACCTTAATTGATATCAATTATGATGCTTGTAAAAAGAAACGCTTTGATTGATATCAATTAAGGAAAAGCCTTACAGTGTGTTTTGGATTGAGGGGAAGGGAAGGAAAGGAAAGGAAAATAAAAGAAAGTAATGGAAATAGAAAATTCTTTCTTTTGTTTAGATAAGCTTTTAATTTAAAGGAAAGGAAAGATGTAGAAACTCAATAACCCTTGGTTTTCCCTATAGTCTTCACTTTTTTATACTCCAATTTGGGGGAAAAGTTGAGGAAAGGAAAGCTAAAAAAATTTTATTTTTGTAAAAAGACTATTATATCCAACTTTTTATTAATACAAAAAGCCTAGTAAAAAAAAACCTAACCACATCACAATCTTCTTGTAATTTTTTCAAAGTTATCTCTTTTTTCAAGTAAGTTTCACATGTCTCTTTCAATATAAAAATTTTTTATAATTTTTTGGTGATTTGATCTTAATTAATGATTGAATATGAATAGACATATTTTTTAGGTTTATGAGATGTCAAAGTGATAATGTGATGAAATTTTGATAATGGCCAACAAATTCATCAATGCATGTTTATAAAACATCTTTTTATTTCACTTGATTAAAAACCACTAATATTGTAACAATTATGAAGGTAGATAAGATAGCAAATATATTATGATCCAGAAGTACTCTATAAAATCACAAGCAATAAAAGGTTATAATTGTAAAAAATTATTATAATAAATCATTTCCTTTCTTTTTCACTCTTTATCCAAACAATGGTTGTTAGAATTCCTGTCCTTTCTTTTCCTTTATTAATTTTAATTATCCAAACAAAGGGTACATGTATCCTTTCTTTCCCTTCAAAAAACTTTCTTTTCTTTTCCTTTTCTTTCCTTTCCTCTTCTTTATTAATATTTATCCAAACATAACATTAATTTATATTAAATAAGGTGCTTGCAAGAAAAAACATCTTAATTGATATCAATTATGGTGCTTGTAGAAATAAAAGGTTTAATTGATATCAAATACGGTGCTAGTAGGAACAAAGCCTCAATTGATATCAAATAAAGCATTTGTAGGAAGAAACACCTTAATTGATATAAAGAAAGGTAGGTTTTTTATTTTGGGACTGTGGGTAGTATTAGGAATTTGACATTTTTTCTCATAATCAGATTACCCTAAACTAAACGTGAGAAGCAAATACCCACCATCAAGATTTTGGGAGAAAATTTGTGGATTCCCCCATACCAAAACGCACTCTTAAATCAATTTAATTACTTAATAATTCTTTAAGCAATAGAATTTCACAAAAATTGAAATTGACTCTCAAATAAAATTTGATCCAATATCTATCAACTTCTCTTTGACATTCTCAAATTAATCTCACTGCTTATAAGCTGAATTTGAAGTTCTTGCTTCTTATTATATTTTACAAATATAATTGTCCATAACATTAAAGCTAGATCTATAATAGGAGAAAAGAAATGGAGAGTCTAAAACATTTTTAGAACGTCACATATTATTAGCATCAAGCAAAGCAGAAGAAAATTAACATAAATGAAAGGAATACAAATAATTTTGGATGAGAATTAAGTATATATGTTCAAAGACCAAATAGAACCTTATCCTTTTGGAAAAGGAAGAAAATGTGAAAAATGCCAACATCAGCTAATACAAACTTCATAAATATCCTGTCAAGAGAGAGCTCCTTGCAGGCCAATGCAAGCCCAACAATCAACCCCAATCTTATATTCCTCTCATTTGATCCTGAACCATCAGCAGTAGCTGGCTCATCTGCGGTTGAAGCTGTTGACTTAGAGTTAGAACCTGATGATGATTTCTTTGTTGATGTTGAAGGAACTGCAACTAGAGATTTAGCTTCGAAAAGCTCTGCAGGCAACAACACCTTGTCCACTCGATAAACTGCCAAAGGTTTCCGTTGAATTAATGCATTGTTAAATTGTGTCTTAACTACCCCAGTTGATACATTAATCTGGTTGTTCTAGCCAGTGAAGTTGAACCCGAAAACGCCACCATCTTGACTAGTAGCTTGGGTTCTGACCGGTTTGCTGACAAATTGAAGATCATATAAAGAGTAGAATTTTGGCAGAACGTGATATAAAACTAGTTGTACTTTCTTTTCATCGTCTAGACTGTTGATGGTACCAACTTTGAGGTTGTTAAAGGCATTATCTGTGGGAGCAAAAATGGTAAAACCTTTAGTGGTGCTGTTTAGTTGATTTTGTATTTGGCTTCCAACTTGAGTTTCTGCTAAAACTTCCAACTTGAGTTTCTGCTAAAACGCGAAGGAAGTAGGTGTATTAGCCATTTTTTGTCAAGGATGCCTGTGAAGTTTGAGGGGCTAGAGGGCAGGAGTGGGTGCTGTCTGAGCTAAGGCTATAGAAGTGAAAAGTAGAAATAGGGCAGACAGAAAAAGGAAAATGGGAGAAAAAGCAGCTGAAGCTATGATTTGTTTGTCTTGGAGATGTTGTGAAAGTGAGGAGAGCCAATGGGAATTTGAAGGGATAAGATGTAGGCCGTGGGACTCTGTTGGAATGAGCTGGCAAGACTCTTGAGCAAGAAAAACCTTTCTGTTACAACAACATAATAATGGGATAACGAAATGAGTTTAAAAACTGCTTATTGCTAGCTGTTTTTATCTTTCTCAAAATTTGATTGATTAAAGGGTGGCTGCTAGTGATTATCCTCATTCCTTACTTAAATTGCAAAAAATATAAAATAAATAGCAAATCAAAGTGGTCCAATCGAAACTTAAGCTAATCAATCTTGTTGACCATCAGCAAAAATGTAGTTAGGTGGGAAATTACCGGCTGGTTTCTCCCAAACCATACTTGGTCAGTTTTTAAGTATACCTCAAGAATTGTGCCCACGAGTGTTTTCATTTAATCGTGGCAAGCAGTAGGAGCATTTTTTTAATCGAGATTCTAGGGAGTAACTTTCTAATAAGGATTCGGACAATTTAAGTTGAATTTAACATCTAGAAGTAGATCAAATTAAACCCAGATAAGAGCCTATGTGTAGGAAACCTTCTTTTACATTGCCAAGGATGATAAAATTTGAACTAAGCAGTCCAATAAAGTACCAATCGGTGTTGGCCTATCTATTAGCTAGTCCATGTCCGATTTCAATCATTTTTTATTTTTTAAGAAGCATCATGAATTTAGCAGCCCGGCAGTAAAACATGGCTTGAGAGATTAGGATATTCCTTATATACAGCCAATATAATGTGCAAAATATTTCATGCTCATATGTCCAAAGGAAGGATGTTTCTTTAAACGTCTTGGAGGACAATGGTTGTCCCCACCAGCATAGAAAGACCCCAAGATTTTCAATCGATTGCAGTTCGAGTATCACATCCCATTGTGTCGGCTGACTCGATGTAAATGCACTCCTAATTAATCTGAAAGGTTATTTATAAAATTCGAGGCCAATGATCAACTCCAGACTAAATACTACTATGGCCTTTAAATCTTTCTTCATCAACAACATTAAAAATTTCTCCAAACTTTTTGTACCTTCATTTTTCCCTCTTCGGCATCTTAAGAATCCCGTAAAAAATAGCCACAAAGCATAGTGATAAACTTATTATTGGTTGAGTCCAAACAAAAGTAGCTGTATACGTGGCCCATAATAGAATGGACCCAACGAGTCTACATTGGGTCCAATTCAAAATGTGTCGGAAAGCCCAAGTCAATTATTGTGTAGTATAATATATTAAACCCTAAACCCTTTTCCTGCATTTTCTTTCAGAATCTATAATCTGTGAATCCATCTCTCTTCCTCTCTTCGCCGCTGGGCTCTTTCGGTATTTGAATCTCCATTTTCCTACTTTTTCTTGTTTTTTAAGAAAAATTTTAGATCATATTTTGCTAGATTTGTTTGCTTAGAAATTCAGGACGAAAAGGTAGAATAGATTGAGGTTTCGTTTTCTCTCTTGTATTTCTTTTTGTTGACTTTATCTCTATGGTCAAGGCTGACACTGTCAAAAACGAAGTGTTATACCCCCTTTCTTGAAAGCTAGGTTGTGTAAGACTTTTTTTTTTTTTCTTTCTTCAATTTGGTTTTGCGGTTTGATTAAATGATCATGGTTTTGTTGGATTTGCTATGTTTGTATTTTTTTTCCCTCCAAAATTGAGGAAATATGGAACTTTGGGTAGGCGTGCACATGACCATGATGGAGTATTTTTATGTTTTTGTTTTTGACGCCATAAGTTGTTTAAATATTGTACTTTTACAGATTTCTTTAACTACAAATTATATGAATCAACATGTTTTGTCTGGGTTCTGTTCTTTGTAGAGCGAATGAATTGTATTTTCTTGATAAGGAAATGATTTGGGTTCTTAAACTTCTTTCTGAACTATGTGGCTTATAAGGCCTAATCCTATGGGAACAGAAGGAAAATTTTTGAGCCTCATCTCCAAAAGACAGAATCTTAGTAGCTATAAGCTTGATTTCGGATTGCCTGTGTGTAAACATGTATGCATTTGCCTGTTTGCCTGGTCTAATTTAGATTTGCATAAACTGTTTTTCGTACATTTTACCTCGTCTAAGGTTGACCATGAGTCATAAGCATGCTCACTTTGTTTATCTTGTAGATCATTGTTTCTTAGCAGTTGTTAATTGGTTGCTCTTTTATAACTTCTTCCCCATTCCTTTTTGTTCTTATGTTATGTAAACCTACTGTTCCATATTTATTTGATGCTTGGTTTTTGTTTACCTCGGGGTTCTTCTGCAATGTAACATCAAAAAGAAAAATTTTTTTCAGCATCAAGTAAAATGAATCTCAACAACATCAAAGTTCCTAAGATGCCGGGAGGTGGAGCTCTTCCTACTTTGCTTAAGATTGGAGTCCTTGGTGGGCTTGGCCTCTATGGAGTTGCCAACAGCCTCTACAATGTTGAGGGAGGCCATCGGGCAATTGTTTTCAATCGTATATTGGGCATCAAAGATAAGGTTGACATTTTTGCATAATGTTCTATCAGTTGACATGTTTATTAGAAAGTCTCTCCTTCCGCAAGTCTGTTGTCTGTGGATATTATAGTACTTCCTGAAACTTGCATATCTTGTAAACTTCTATAAAAGAATGGGTATGTCTTCACTATGAAATTGACTAGAAAGTAGCCTTGTGCTATCCTTTCTTGAATGACTATATTTTGTCTTTTTTCCTCATGCTATTTACATTTTTTTTTATTGTTTTTTTCTTTTGGCTTAAGCTATGTTTAGCTGTATTTCATGCAGTTTAATGATTGTTTTTCCAGGTTTATTCTGAGGGGACACATCTTATGGTTCCATGGTTTGAGAGGCCTATCATCTACGATGTCCGTGCAAGACCTCATCTAGTTGAGAGCACTTCTGGTAGTCGTGATCTCCAGATGGTAAATGCTAATTTTCAATTTTCACAGATTTGTTCTTTTGCATGCAAGAAATTTTTTTAATCATTACCTTGTTGCTTTTTAGTTTTCTAGACAGGGGTGAGGCCAGGGGGGCTTTCAGGGACCTCCCCCAGGCTTTTTGAACTCTTTGATAATACAGTAAAGTTTATCAACTAAAAACATGATAAATTTGAATTTCACCCCCGAAACATTTATTGTATGCCCCCCTTACCAAAACTTTGTACCAATTAGCATGGTATACTCAGTAATTTGCAACTCTTTAGTCCTAAACTTAATTACTAATTAGATTTTCTTTTGTTATTTTTTAAATCCTTAAAACTATGAGTTTATCTTCTTAATCAATCAAATAAAAATGTTTATAGTAATTATTAAATCAAGACTTACCAAAAAAAAAATTAATTAAGAAATTGTTAGTTGTTATATTTGCATACAAAATTAATTTTAAATGTAACTTTCTTTTTTTTCATCTATTTCATACCTCCTATCAAGCTTTTAATTGTTTAAAAGTTCTGCAATGGCTGATCTATCTTTCGAGAAGTTATTATTTATAAGATGTTATTTTTCTATTCAATCTTTGATATTGTCATATGGACAATATGAATTACAATATATGAAATTTACATATGTCTTTTACATGTCAAAGGAAATATATATGTTATTCAATCAAATTGCTAATTTATTTGAATTTAGCATACATTTTATATACTACTTTTTGTTAGATTTTTTTTTCTACCATTATGTTTTTCTTATCTTACACCACCCCCCCCCCCCCCCCCAAACTGAGAATCCTGGCTTCGCCCCTTAATTGATTGAGTATTGATAACTTCTGAATGGAGTATGCATGAGTCATTTTTCTTTTGTTTCTTTTTCTTGTTTATGCTACAAGGTAAATGCTTTTTCATAGTTAGATTAGATGGAAACTTAAAATAGAAAAACATTGCAGATGCTGTAATTAGAAACTAAACTTGCTTCTGAACCATCCTCTGCAGGTGAAGATTGGGCTTCGAGTTCTCACTCGCCCTAAGGCAAATCAGTTGACTGAAATTTATCGAACCCTTGGTGAGAACTATAATGAGAGGGTCCTGCCTTCAATCATTCATGAAACTTTAAAAGCTGTGGTTGCTCAGTACAATGCCAGCCAACTCATTACTCAGAGAGAGGTAGGTATCCTACATATTCTTAGCTGCAATTTTGTGTACATCCTAATAATGTGGGAAGTTGAACTGTTGTTCTTTTAGAATGTTAGTAAGGAAATTCGGAAGATTTTAACTGAAAGGGCAGCTTACTTCAACATTGAACTGGATGATGTGTCCATTACAAGCCTGACTTTTGGGAAGGAATTCACAGCTGCAATTGAGGCCAAACAGGTGGCCGCACAAGAAGCTGAGAGAGCTAAATTTATTGTGGAAAAAGCTGAACAGGACAAGAAAAGTGCTGTTATCCGAGCACAGGTGAGACACATAAAATAGTCCATCCTCTTTCAGCCTTGGAAGTTTTAGATTGTAAAGGAATAAAAAATGAAGTAAATAAAGGACAAAAAAAAAGGCCAAGGGGACAAAATTGGTAAGTTTTTCTACGAAAAGTAGATGATAAAATGCACCTCAAAGGTAGTATTTAAGTTGAGATCTGGTAAAAAGAATAGATCCTTATGAAACATAGAGGTAAACGCACCCAAATGACAATCTGAAACAGATTTGGATTTCTGTTTCTGCTTGGTGCATAAGTTTGTTAGATTTCAATTTGCCTTGTATAGGTTGATCATTTTACTCATTCTAAAGTATTCTTTTCTGGTTGCCAGGGTGAAGCCAAGAGTGCCCAACTCATTGGTCAAGCTATTGCCAACAATCCAGCATTCATCACATTGAGGAAAATTGAAGCGTCTAGAGAAATAGCACAGACGATTTCAAATTCAGCCAACAAAGTCTTCTTGAATTCAAAGGATCTATTGCTGAACCTTCAGGAGATGAATCTGGAAACTCACCCAAAGTAATCGGCATTTAAGTTGAAAACTTAGTTATTGCAACTCCTTAGTTTTTGGTTCACTTTGTTCAGTCGTGAGAACGTTTAATAAAACAGTGGTGAGAAACGTAAAAGTCTTTTTTCTTCTCATGGAATTCTAAAAGGAGTTTTTTTTTCCTTTTTCTATGGATTAGTGTTCAAACATAACATATATTTGATGAAGGGCTGATTAGTTGAGGTACAAAAGAGCTGTTGGACATATGTATGATGTTTCTCACATTATGGTCAATCTATATCATCTTTCTAAGTTTATATCCTTTCTTTGCCGGAACTCACCGCAGTGGTAAGAAGGAACTAGGCAGCTTTTTGTTTTTTTTTTTTTTGTGGGTTCAAATTTAAACCATTCTCTTGTATCACTGGTTTTAAAGCTCAATGAGTACTCTAACAATCCGTTCCTAATGGAACCTGTTGGGCGTGAGTTATCTTTTGGATCACGCCTAGGTTTGAATTGAGGGGTTGTGAGAGATGGCTTGATGGGAGGTGAGAAAGAAAAGGAAATTAAAAATATATATATATTTTATTTTTCTCTTGTTTAATTTTTTTTTTTTATCAAAATAAAGGAAAAGAAAGGGCCTATTCCTTTTCTCTAACAGCTTTAATTTTTAATTACTTCAAATTGGAGAAAAAAAGAAAAAAATAAAGAAATGAGAAAATTTTTTTACATATAATTTCTTTTATTATTTTCTTTAATTTTTAAAAATACATTATAATTTATAAGTTTGACAAGTGATATTAATATTTACTTTCTCATCAAACCCAAACCCATATCCTTATTTATTGTGCTTTCTTTCAATTTTCATCAACTTCTATTATTATAGATTTCAAATTTATTTTTATGAATTTTTGTATGTATGTTGTTTATTCATTTATTCTTTTTAGCATATTTTTTATTTTATATGAAAATAAAATTGTGAGGTACTATTAGTTTAGGTAACTTCCAATTGTCCATAAAAAAAAATCAATCTTTTATTTTTAATTTATGTTGGGTTTTATATTGTTTTTATATTTTATTATTATTTTATAAAATTTGAAAAAACAAGAAAAAATATGTACAATTGTAAAGATTATAGCTATATTAATGGAACTTGTTGAACTTGTAAGAAAATATTAATATAAACTTATAATTAATTTTATTTACTAAGGTATACTTAAATTATTAAGTTTTATCACTGGAATTAATTTTGGAAAAACCAACATTACTTACGAATTAATAAAATAACACCTTTTTTTATTAAATATCTTCTTTTTTATTTAAAATAATTAATTTCTAGATTATTCCTATGACAAATGAAATATTTCATGATATAATTGGAAAACAATATTAAAATGAATCATTTCCTTTTTCTTCTCACTCTTTAACCAAACAATGATTATTAGTATTCCTTGTCTTTTCTTTATAAATTTTAGCTATCCAAACAAAGGATATATGCATCATTTTTTTTCCCTTAAAAACTTTCCCTTTCTTTTCCTTTACTAACGTCTTTCAAACCATAGTATAAGGTTAACTATTATAAATTTACAATGATAATTTGATGCTAGATAGGGATTGTTTGTCAAAACCAAAGAGTTTGATCACGTTCGAGTTGATGACAAACTATATCACCTTACATGGTTGCCATCCTTAACATGTACCATTGTTTTTGCTTGCTAACAATTAATTAGTTAAGATCTATTGATTTGTTTTAACTAAATTTATCACCCGATATCTCTCATTGAGCCTAACAAATCTTCTAATACAAGAATGAGTTTAAAGGTCATTCCTTTTATACATTAATAATGTTTGCTCATATATTGTAAGCTAAATTTTTTTGGGTTAGGGAGGTTTAAGAATTGCTAGAAAGCTGGGTTTCTAGAATTTGATTGGAGAGATGGATGCAACCACGGTGGGTTTCAATGACAAATGATAAACTCTATGTCACTCGTTGGTACATTATTGATGGATTACAAATGAATGTTTTAACTTCTTTTCAAGATTGCAAAGGACTATTTAACTTCTTCTCTAAAAGTTTTAGTGAGACATATTGATGTCTAAAAGAGGATAGGTTGGACTGGTTGAACTAGAATCTCCGAAAAGCTATGAGGCAAGTTGGGGCCAAGCTTGTTGAACAGTAAAAAAAAGTCAAAGGGCACTGGAGTTTTAAAATGCGTTACGACTTATGACCTTTGAATAACAAACTATTTACCTCATATGAAATTAAGGATAAAAAAGAACCAAAAAAAGAGAGAATACAGGAGAGATTGAGGTAAAAGAAAGATCATGCCTTTTGTCTCTTACTTGACTGCTTATATAGGCACAACAATTAGACATGCTAAAAAGCATATCCAATGCATTTTTGTCCGTCCTTGAGATCAGCCTTTATATGATTAACTAAGCTTTGTCTCAATGAAGTAATGGCATATGTGGAACTTGAATGGAATCTTTTCACAAAGTTGGCTACGATAACTCGAATATATAAATGAGTAACAAGTAAAACACAAGTTAGTTCAAAGGATACATAACAATATAATGGGGCATAATGGGTGCATGCCCGAACAATACCAAATGCCCCTAAAATAAAAAAAAGGTTTTTATTAATGTATATATGGCTACAACGATTACAAAAGAGAATTGAGTTTCCATAATGGTCAGAACCAGAGGGGTAGACCTAGATAGACAATCTATACATACCTTTATTAGTGAGACAACCTAATAATTCATTGATTGCTCACCTCTTTGAAAAGCAACAAAGCTTTTACAAGTATAACACTAAGAACCATTACATTTTTTTAAATGATGACATTTTTTTCCTTATACCTAAGATCTACCTTTGGCTCCTCTACCCGATCATGGCCCTATATAAGGTTGGCTTGTGACATCCTCTTTCGCTTAATTTATTGACATCTTCATCGACTTGGTAGTTTGGAATTCTTCAATTTTTTGCTTGAAGGTTCGAAAGTCATAGTTTCTTTTCGAATTGATCTCTTTTGGTCCTAAGCCCTACCACTTCATTGACTACTTTTTGATGGGTTTTCAAGACTCTATAATTAACCTATCTACTAGAATCTACTCCATACATAATGGTGGCTTCATTCAGATAATAGTCTTGGTAGCTTTACTACAGTTTGCATTTGTAGAGTCTGCATGATAAGGCTTTAGGTTACTCACATGAAATATTAAATGCACCTTCATCCATTTAAGTAGTCTAATCTTGTAGAAAACATTCCTTACCTTGGAATGATAGTTACCTGACCTTTATACTTACACACCAACCTATGATACCATTTTTTTAAGAACTTGAGTTGCTTGGATACTAGTCTAACAAGCACAAGACCACCAATCTTAAAGTGTTATGCCCTTCAACCCTTATCTGTCCACTTCTTCATATGTTTTGATGCCTTATCTAAGTATACTTTAGCAATCTGTATTCCATATCTATTCCTTGATGAGGTTGAAAGCTCGTAAACTTTTCCCTCAATAGAGCTCAAAGGAGGTGTAGGGTAACTTCAGTTTTTGCCAAGCGACCATTTCAAAAGGGCTTATGTTGATGAAGAAACTCTTATTGGTATTAAAACAAAATTGATCCATATCCAACAATGTAAGCTAAATTTTTAGATTCACTTACACCAAAATGTCTCATGTATTTCTTCAATAATCTATTGAATTTTTTATCTGGCCATCTATTTACTAGTGATAACTTGAAGAGATATTGAGTTAAAATCCCAACAGCTTGAAAAGTTTTATCCAAAATGACTCGGTAAATTTTGGATTCCTATCATTAATGAAACTTTGTGGAATATCCCAATACTTAACTACATTCTTAAAAATTAGATGAGTTGTTTCTTTCATAGTACATTATTTTTAAGTGGTGATAAATGTGACATTATTTGAGAAACGATCAATCATCACCAAATAAACCCAAAATGACAAACCCTAAAAAGGCTTAATATGAAGTAAAAAGAGGCATTTTCCTAAGGTCTAAAAGGCACAAGTAAAGGTTTAAACATGCTTGTCGATCCCTTTTCTATGCTTTGTTTTGTTTGAAAATAAGGCAAGTTTTGGTGTAGTCCTTTACATTCTATTACATATGAGGCCAATACTAGCCTTGTCTCAATAGGGTGAACATGTATTGCCAACCAAGATAACCAACCCAAGGTGTGTCATGGCATTCTCGCATTAATATCAGTATTAAGCCCCTACTATTGACATAAATATTTATGACCCTTTTATTAATAAAGCCTTATTTTTTAGCTAAAAATAGTTGGACTTCCTTCATTCTACCAACTTAATGATGAAACTAGCTTATGGGTCATTTTTTAGATTCTATTAAATTAACTTTCGAATGTCTGTGGTCATCTTACTAGCAAACATTGAAGTAATTCTCTTAAGAGATGCCAATTTTATTCATTTGCTTAGTGTAAATCAAATTTAACTAAGAGCTCTTACCATCTTACCTACTTTGCCATAAGCCTCAGTTGAGTAAGAAAATGGCTAATTGTTGTGTTGTCAGTGTTGACGGTGAAGCAAGATCTTAGCAAGTAATACCACTATGCCTTTAAACAACGTATCGTTGCCAATAGTTCCTTTTCTTAGGCCATATACCTTCATTTTGTCTAACCCAACTTTCAATTCTTAAATGTTATTGGGTGTCATTCTTTCAAATATACTCTCTCAATGGTAAAATATGATGAATTGATATATACTTCGAAGAGGCATGACTTTAGGCAACTACTCTGGCATCATATTTTGGAACTTTTCCAATACCTTTCTGACCTTATCAGATACTGATTCTAACCCTACTCCATCCTTGTAAATTGGTATTACAACATAGGAAAGCTATTTTCTTTTTACTTTTTTCTTAAACTATAGTGCTGAGATGATTTTTTTTCTACCTTTAAGGAAGATCGCGACTGGCATCACACATGGGCATTCTTTAAGAACAAGTAACTAGTAGTGAAAATAGGATCATTTAAGCAACACCATAAAGTCCAACCTCAAGACAACATCAAAGTCTTCTATAGGGGAAATGGTAAAGTTTATGCCTCATGCCCATGGCCCAAGCTTGGTTATCATATTCTTGGAACTTCTAATGATTGCAAAGGCTAGCAAATTCATCGTTTTCATTTGTCCACAATCCTTGGTAACCTTGAGACCACACTTTTTAACTTATTTTGGTGTGATAAAGATATAGGTTGCATCCGTTTCTATCGTGGCATTTGTTGTATTTCCATTAAGCAACACATCCGTAGACATAGGGCCCTTCTTGGGTTTTTTCTTCATCATGCTCATTTGAGATCGAAAGGTAATGAGAAACCTTGAGGAACCCATCTTTACTAGTTCATCCTCAACTTTTTCAATAGATTGGTGCACTTGGGATGATTCTTGAGAAAAGGCTCTCAAAGCATTAAGGTTTTTTTAATCTAGCATTAGGCCACTCAGTGTTGTCCTTAACATAGGAAGTAAGATAATAGTTGTTTTACCTTAAAGTTCAATGCATTGTAT